AGCAGAACCTCGACCGCCTCTCCATGTGGTCTGCAGAGGTCAATGTTCCGATCAACCCGGTCAAGTCGCAATTCATGAGGCTGGGCAAGTGTGAGCACAGTCGAATCTACACGGTGGCTGGTCATCCGTTGCATCCCGCGCCTTTCGCGGGCGACCTCGGTGTACTCTCACGCTGAGACCTAAAGTCCATGGACAATACGAATAGGATTTACCAAAACAGCCTTCGTATGCTTTGGGCGCTCAGGCGCAGCTTCAGCATTTGGTCCGAAGAGATTGCCACTCGCCTCTTCGTCTCAATAATACGACCAATGCTAGAGTATGGCTCTCCCGCGTATTGTCCTATCACTCGGGGCGACGTAGAAAAGATTGAGCGAGTGCAGCATGTAGCCACCAAGCTGATTCCTAACTTAGGAGGTGTGCCGTACGAAGACCGGTGTAAGAAACTAGGACTGTACACCCTAGCTTATCGTCGACTGAGGGTGGACCTCATCATGACGCACAGGATATTACATCTGGGTGAGTACCCTATGTTGAGACCGCTGCTTCATCTGCGCACACCAAGCAGCACACGAGGACACCGGTATAAGCTTGTCGTACCGGATTTGAAACGGGTCACTCACTAACTCTGTTTCGAACACAGAGTGGTGAATACGTGGAACGACCTGCCGCAACATGTAGTAAAGGCAAACTGTGTCAGAATTTAAGAATTTCCTGGACAAACACTTTGCCGACGCAAAATATATTGAGCGGAACACAACATAACGGGTATTTATCCATGAGTGAGGACTGATGCAGCTACACAGAGCAAGCTCTACTTGCTGCTTCTAGCCAGTATTCAATATTGGTGGCTAAGAAGAATGCAGCTTTTGCTGCACATGTGGCGGACCATAATGACTAGGGGAAGAAGAGTCAGTTTCGCAGAATTCGATGGCGACTGACTCGAGAGCTCCGTCGCATCAAAAGTGCGTGGTGGACAGAGAAAACGAGGCAGGTGGAATGTTACGCCTAAGGCCGTTAACACAATGCATTCTTTGACTCATTGAAAGCGGTGACAGTCATTTATGATGATTTCGATCATCAAATTTGAAGGGGAAATAGATCTAGGACAACCGTGGTGAGCATCGCTTGTCGTGCAGAACTCGGCCTCGGGAGTTACGGTATAGAGAAGTCAGAATGGAAATGAGTTTCTCTGGCTCGCACAGCATGGATAGGCAATGTCAGAAGCTGGCGCAGTTAAAAGAGTAAAACGCGGCTTACAAGTCATGCAAAACCAAGATAGTCGGTCGTTTGCATGTGTCTCTGCTCGAACACTTGGCAAAGAGTAAATTTATGGTCGATACACAAAGGACCATGGCGGAAGCCTGGCTTTCAGTGATCCGGTCCTTACGGGGACCAGTATGTCGTTGAAAAATGATATAAGTAAGAAGTTTTGAAGCAATTAAGATAAGGCTGTTGCCTCGATGACTCAAAAAGTGCGCTGACCTCTCTTGAAGATGGGCACGACAGATGACAGTCGCCAGTCTGTAGGCACCTCTTCAGTATCCCAAATCGTGTTAAATAGAGTAAGGAGCTTAATCAACAAAGAGTCACCGTCACCTTCCAAAAAACGTGGAGCGAGGTCATCGGGTCCAGGAGCCTTGTTTTTCTTCAACATGGAATGCTCATGTCGTATCTCTTCCAAAGTGTGACGTCTACTCCCCACATCGGCTCAGATGATTCCGCAAGCGGCGGTGTCACAGCAGACCTGCTGAACTTTACTGCAAAATGTTTCGTCCAAAAGGTTAGTCGAATAGCCTGAGAATGGATCAACTGCCAGTTTTTCTCGGCTACTGTCTCGCTGATGGCTTCCTCGGACCCGTGTTCCGGATGAGCTGGAATAGCATTCGGATGTTCCCTATAGTATTCGCTTTCTCCATCTCAAGGGGCCTTTGCAATCCACCAACGTTGCCGATCGATGCGAAGACTCCTTGCGATCGTCGTTTCAGAGAGTTACGGACGCGCTGAAACGCAATGCCCATCGGAAGCTGCTTCCGTGCTTCGATCAAGCTGAACGATGCCTCAGAGATGCATCCATAGTTACGACGTCTCAAGTTAGGTGCATAGCAAGTGTCAAAGGCATTCTACATGGCACACTTGAAACGACCCCAGTCAGTGTTCGGTTCACCAACCACATTCATCACTGACAATTGGTGGGCCAGTTCGTCGTGATATTGTTGAACTGTAGATTGCGAGTTCAAGCTACATAGCGCTTCTTTGAAGCGGGAAGAGTTAGCGCCAAATGTGCGTGCACTAGATCGTGGCCAGAATCCAGGCACGTGTTCCAAATTGACCGACAGTCTCGAACTGATGTGCGCCATCTGTACCTGATGGCAACATGGCCAACCTGCGTCCAGGTCATAAGGAATTCGGTGGGCGCCAGGAGACGTGGTGTGAACGTATGTGCTGGAAAGCAGTGCTGCTACTATAAAGATCGTGGTCGGCGCACATTTGCAGGAATCGATCACCCTTGCCTGTTCCGCGTGCATCGACTCCGAAGTGGCCGCCCAGGTATTGTTCAGAGTCTGAAAGACGAACCACCTGGGTATTCATGTCATCAGCAATACTTACGAGGTCAGTATTCTTCCTCTTGCGAAGAAGATATGAGAGCTATCGATAGAAAGTCTTTGATTCCCCCTGAACTGCATTCAGTTTGGGCATAAACTGAGGTGATGAAAAGGCACCTTGTCTTCAGACGGTACTTATTATCTCGAATATAGGTATGAAATAGAACCGCACACATGCTACTCTTCATCGGTATGCAGTTTAGATTGCTTTCAGCATGTTTGCTGAGGGCGATACCAACACTGTAAATGCCTTGAGCCATTGACGCTGTATCGCCAAAGATGCGAAGAGTGTAATCATCGTCATCATATTCAGAATCAGGGAGTCGAAGATTCGTCACGACACTGTTATCTTGTATGCATGTATAGAAGACACAGCACACATCAACACCAAGAGAATGAAAAGTGAGTTAGCGCCGCTTGCTGGCCGATCTGACCAACAATGTGGACGTTAAAAAAACTGCTATGTAATGAAATCTTAGGTTTGATGGAAGAACTACATGTATCGATGTTAGTAACTGCGAGGTCAGCGGCAGTCGCTTGCTCGATAGACGAGGAAGAAGAGAACTGAGGGGGGAGAAAAATAAAAAGAGGGAGTATTGTCGACAGGGTTGATAGAGCAGATGATACTCGCCGGGTGCCCATTCCGAGAGAGGAGTTTTGTTCAAGGTGCCATACCTATAACGTTTGACACCACAGTCTGACCCACAAGGCGGTGGATTACATGGAGGTTGGTTTGAGGGACTCTCCCCGGAGTCTTTGGGTGAATAGTCGGACTCACAAGGCAGTGGGGACCAAGTCCAGCTGGGGAGTTGATTGCAGAGACCCATTGGGATCTGGCTTGAGACCTGTCACACAAAGCCTGAATATTGGGAACAATTCACATGGGTTATATGACCCCATTATGTTGTGCGCCTGCGACCATGGCCAGCCGCAGGTGGGAGTTTGCCGGTTTGCATCAATTTGACCAGGGAGTGACAGGCTTTAGGCGGGCGGCAGGAAACAATTGAGCACCTGGCATTCATGCCAACAGCAACAAGCAAGATGACAGTATTCCTCACTATGCGAAGAAGAGATGAGAGCTGTCGATGGAAAACGTCTTTGATTCCCCCTGAACTGTATTCAGTTGGGGCATAAACTGAGGAGATGAAAAGGCATCTTGGCTTCAGACGCTGCTTAGTAAGTCCAATAGTAGTCCGAATTCGAACCGCGCACATGTGGCTGTTCACCGGTATTCAGTCGAGCATACTGCTTTCAGCATGTTCGCTGAGGACAATACCAACACCGTAAATATCTTGAGCCATTGACACGGTATCGCCAGTGACCTGAAGAGTCTTCAGATTCGGAACAAGGAATTTGAAGATTCGTCACGACGCTGTTAGCTTGTATATGTGTTTCGGAGACAGCACACATCAATATCAAGAGAGTGAAGAGTGACAGTCAGTGTTGTCTGATGGCCGATCTGACCTAGAGTGCGGATGTTACAGGAACCAATGTGAAATGAAATTCTAGGTTTGATGAAAGAGCTACATGTAACGATGACAGCAGCTGCATTTTGCTCAATAGAAGAGGAAGAGAGTTGAGGGGGAGAGAAAAACATGGAGAAGAGGGAGTGTTGTTGACAATATCGAGAGGGCAAACGATACTCTTCGGTTGCCAATTCCGAGAGAGAGGTTATGTTCGAGGTCCCATACTTCTAGCCTTTGACACAACAGTGTGACCCACAAGGCAGTGGGGTACATGGAGGTTTTCGGCTCAATAGCCTGATTCACGAGACAGCGAGGAGCAAGTTAGGCTAGTGGGTGTGACTGCAGAGATAAAACAAGACCTGATTGAGACCTATTGCATACAACGTTACAAGATTTAGTACAATGCACATGCATTGTATGACCGTATTAGGTTACGCACCTGCGATCACAGCTAGCCGCAGGTGAGAGTTGGCAGGTTCATATCAATTTAACCATATCTTGCTAAGCTTGCGGCGGGCGACAGCAAACAATTGAGAACTGAGTGATAACTTCCCGCTGTCAGAGACAATACGTGGCACTCGTTCCTTACGCCAATCGAGCTGCGAGCTTATAACCCGCTGCTAGCTTTTTATGCAAGAAGGCCATTGACCTCTCCCTAACCTCCGAAGATGATTGTGTGACTGACTTAATCTGACACCTAGCTATTGACCTGTCTGGCATGAGTGGAGCTGGGTTACGGGGGTACACAAACCATCATACCGATGCTGTGGTAAGCGTGTCGAGTCACTACGCTCGAGAAAAACGTGCTAAAATACTATGCACAGAAGTAGGATTACATGCTTACAAAAACACAGAAAGATAAACACGAATAGAGAGAAATCGTTTATTTGTGACGCAAGAGCGGGAAAGTGACAGCTCAAAAGGCACTCACAGAACCATGATCATCTGCTCCGGTTGATGCGGCACTGGTGTCGAACTCTTCCATGCAGCCAGAGTGATGGCGACGAATGAACGTTTGCAATAGGGGAACAACGGCCTTACGTGTCGCTTTCGGATTTCGGATCACCCCGACGAATGGAACTGATGGGGGGAATTGGATCAGATTATCTTCGGGGCACAAATCGAGGCCGCTCGTTGGCAAACATAGAAAATCGCGCAACTGCAAACAAACGAAAGAGAGAGGTAGCAACGGAGAAATCCACAGTATGGTCGTGTAAAGTGACTAAAATGTAACGGGAGTTAAGTAAAATCCAGAGCAGAGAAAAAGAGTTCAAGTGTACCGGTAGTACATTGGTTTCTTTTGTTTAATAACGCAAATTTCCCAAATGCATAAGGCTTAAGTGGATGGTGCTACTAGTTACGTTGAGAGAAACTCCTACCAACGCGATCAAAGTTTAAAGGTAGAACGAGGAGTATCAAGACTCAAGGTGTTATATGTTAGAAAGAGAAGAGCAACCGGTTGAAACAAAATGAGCCAACCGAAGGACCAATGTTTTTTTCCGCTGTTTAGAAGTAAAGCTTTTGAGGCAAAGTCGACCACACTAATCGTACACCTCCGCGTGAGTGAGGATACGCTGACAACGTTCTAACTCGTACAGATTTATGACAGTCAAGTTAGACAACAGTCTTTGTATCGTATCGAAAAGTCATGTTATATGCAAGATGTAGCAGAGCAAATAGGAAAAATAGATCTCATTGTCGTGGTGTCAGTTTTGTTTGTACACATCCCGGCCGCCAACACCAACCCTCCGTAAACACCGAAATCAATGACAGTACCTGTGGCTCTAAATGGACTTCGTTAGCTGTCGCCGCGTTGCCAGTGGCAAATATTTTCATTAAGGCTCTCTTATCAACGCATGATACTCGGGTCCATAGGTGACGCAGAACATCCGCACCATAAGACAAACAGGTCAACAGGCTGGTGATGACAAGTGTTGCCTCCGAAGGTAGAATTCATGACTGTAATACACGTTTGGCAAGCAAACGGTGCCTAGACTATGTTCGTGCTATCGAGTACCCGTGCCGGCAAAAGCCAGAACAGCAACCGCATTGTCCTCAGCCTAAAGACTGGATCCCCGAAATGAACCCGACTCTCGTGAACAAACATCTATACGCGGCCCGTTTGAAAACGTCAACTAAGGCTAATGTGTGGAGTAATGTTAAACACTGCCCGCTCGTGGCTGCAACTCTAACCGGCTATGGTCCTGATGCCACCAAACGTGATGCAACCGCGAACCGTGCGCTACACAGTTCTGCCAATTCAGACATGAGTTTTCGCACAAGGTACAATCGAGCAGATGCTGAGCGATGGAGCTGGCAGGGAATTTAGGTCCACTATTTGTCAGGTTCCGTGGAAGATGTTCCATGATCCTAGTTGATAGCCTTCTCTCGGTTCGGCCAATGTACATGCTACCGCAAGTACAGGTGAACTGGTAAACACATGAGGCGGTAACCTGAGAGTGAGGCCTATTCAAGTTGGATTCATGGAACAGCTTCTTGGTTTGATGTAACAACATGAGCTCAGCTGCGTAGTAGCACCTTTTTATGGCTTGGCGTAATCGGTAGCACAATCTTCTGTCGTTCTGTTCCCCTTTGTATGGTAGCGTGAAGAAGACCTTTTTCTTTGGGACATCCATTCGTGTTTCTTTCTTAGTAACCTCATTCCCATACCTGGCGATGAATTCATTAGGATAGCCATTATTGCGTAGGTTAGATTCGATGTATCGTAATTCAGCCTCGATTGACTCTTCAGAGCATATTCGGTGTGCTCTAACAAAACAAATTCGAACTAGGGATCGTTTATAGTTCATTGGACAGTAACTGTTAAAATGTAGGTAATGTCCGGTCCCCAGAACCTGGCAAATAGTGGATCTAAACTCTCTGCCAGCTCCATCGCTCAGCATCTGTTCGATTGTACCTTGTGCGAAAATCCACGGGACGCATTCAAGGTTACCAGCAGACAATTCAGACATGGTCTAACGGCAGCATGTAGAATTTCTCGAGATCATTCACCTGACTGTCGTTCCTGCCAGTAATTTTCAATTTATCCGATAACATTTCACGATGAATTCAAAGATTGCGAATGCATAGAATCACGTCCCCAACCGATTTGGTCACCCCAACTTACCATCGCGTGTTCAAGCGCTAATAACTTTGTTTGATGGTTAACCCGATAATGTATCATCAATTGTTTACGCGTTCAACCCTCTACACTTCACATGATCTTCGCCTCAATGCATGTCGTGCCGACTATAACAAATGCTTCATGCACCAGGCTTGGGGTACCATCACCACGGAGCTATCACATTCATTGACCGAAGTGCACCAGGTCATCCAAAATGACTATAGCGTTCTGTTTAGTACGTGTGTGCTTAATGCTTATCTATCACCTATTCAGCACCTTGTGGTGTGACCGCCAATGACTGGGCACCGCGATTGTCAATAGCTCTACTCAAGCGCTATTTGCTCACATGTCCTCTGGTTGCATTATTCGAATAATGGTTTAAGCAGCTCCATTCTTCCTCCCCGTCCGTGTAACTGCATCTTATTGTCGAGGCTAATCTACCGGGATGCAGAATGGGTAAGGTTTGCACAACTAACGTAACTGCGTAGTTAGTAAGGGTACAGTAGATGTTGCGAACCGAACTCGCTCTGATTTTTAGATAATAAAATACCCGGAAGTCAAAATTCGACTGGCGAAAGTTACAAACGGGTTTACCCTTGAGTAGAGATTTTACTTGTAATTACGTGAGAGTTTGTTGCAGTAGCTTGGAAATCTGATAGTCCACCACCACATGGAGCTGCTTGGACCACTATTCAACTCATAAAACCAGTGGACAAGTGAGCACATATTGCTTGCGTAGAGCAATTGACAATCGCGATTGCCAGTCATTGACGGCCAAATCACAACGTGCGGGATGGGTGATAGGTGCAAATGAGTCGTGCCCAGTTCGCGTGGATGACATGCGCCGGCTCTCGGCTTTTGACAACGGATGCTTGAGGACGATTGCTCGTGAGTGGTGGCAGCAACGTACTTCCAATCGTGAAGTCCGACGTCGTGCCTTAGGAGATACGGTTATCCCCATAAAAAGCTGGTTTTGCTGCGTCTGCAAAGATGGCTCGGTCACGTTTTGCGTATGTTAGCTGAGCGTTTGACTTATTTGTGCCCCATTTGCTCGTGCAGGGCTTGGCTGGAAGAGACCGCGTGGCGGTCAGCCGTCCAATTGGCATCAGGATATGAAATCGTTGACATCATACCTTGCTGCTGTTGGATCCACACGCCTGCCTGGTTGGGGACCAAAGGACGAAGAGTGCTGACGACTAGAAGCAATTCAGGATATGGCGCGTAGTCGAAACCAGTGAAAAGTGTTGTGTACGTACTTGTTTGATTAAGTGTCCAATGCTTAACAAGTGAAAACGATTAAAAAAATGAAAAATAACGCGTGAAAAATAGCAAAAGCCGTTCTGTTCTTACGACACAATAGCTGAAGTGTGTTGTTCACCTTCAGGTACTGCGCCATGATGATGATATGATGAATACACCGGCATTCTTTTTATGATTTCTACGGTTTTGCTTGGCTCCCTGTGTATTCGTTAGACTGTTACGAATATGGCTAGCGCCATCCCGTTCCAAATTTGCCTGTCACTGTGGCCTCCACGGCGACAGCCACAGGACGCCTGCGCCTACAGAGGGACCAGTGCGGTTTGTGTTGCACCACTCACAACTTCATCCACACAGCTCATATCAAGTGTAAACCTGAAGGAATAAAACCGCGAGGCATATGGACGGGTGTCAGGTCTCATTAACAGAGGCGGTTCATACTACTTCGACTTGCGTAGCAGCATTGCTATGTGGTTAAGAAAGCATGCGTACGACGTAAACAAGGCGGTGGTTGCACCGTAGCTTGTTCCACACGGCGTCCATGGAACCACTCTTTGAGCCTAGTACGGCCATTATGACGGTGCACCCCGATGACCCAGTATCGTTTCAGCCTGCTGGAGCCAGTCTAAACGACCTGGTAGGCACTTTGTCAACATTCACATCAAGCGCAGTACCATCGGGGATATCACTCATCAACCAACACCTGGTATACAAGAAACTCAACACGCAGGCACACGCACGGGCAGACCGACCGCAACGATGATGTGGCACCCGTACCACATCACCTGCTTTCTTGGTCTTGGAATGAACGCCGACGTAGCATAGTTATGAACGCTGTGCTGGTAATCAGCTGACTCGTCGACTTTTGGATGCTGGCGTTGCGTGGCAACACTGGCGGCTTACCACGCCCACCTGACTCAAACACTCACGACCGCATATGTCACAGCACTGTGCGCTCGACGTTGATGGGCTAGAATCCATCAGCGCCCCTCAATTCCCTTCCAGGCGCCATTTTGCCGCTTGTAGCCGTGATTTCTCATTCACTTGCGCAACCGCACTCTTGATATGTTCTCGCCATTCGCGACGATCCACTGCGTTTGATTCCCAACACGAGCGCCACGTATTGCCTCTGGCAGTGGGAGGGCACTTGCGAGTGCACTATGGTTTGCTACCGTCCGCCTCAAGTCAGCCAGCCCCTGGTGCAATCTCGCCAAAACCCTCCTGCGTCTGGCCGTGGTCGCAGGTGCATATCCTACTACGGTCATAAAACACATAAGAATTGTTACAGGTATTCAAACGAGTGTGTCAGACCTCAAGCAGATCCCAATGGGTCTCTGCAATTACATTCCCGAGTTGGCTCTGTTACTCACTGCCTTGTGGGTCAGGCTATTAAGTCAAAGGCTCTGGGCGGACTCCCTCAAGCAAACCTCCGAAGCAAAGCCATCATCACACGTGCGATCACCCATCAATGCAATCGTATGCCTCCGCGCAAAGCACCCAGCATCGGCTGCTGGAACGTGCGCACACTAATGTACCGGAACTCGAGTGAGTGCCTCCGAGCGACACACTACACTGGTCGCGATGGAACTGACGCGCTACAACATCGATATTGCGGTTCTCAGCGAGACCCGGCTCGCTGAGCAAGGTAAGTTGCATGAAACTAGTGCCGGCAATACGTCCTACTGGGCGAGAAACGCCACCGCAGCACCATGTGAACATAGTGTCGGATTTGCAATATCTGATCGTCTCAATGGTCAGCTGGTGGATGAACCAACTGT